GCTGATAAGTGGGTTGGTGATGGAGAACGGGCGGGCAGAGACTAGGTAGGTGCATACAGTGCTGTAGTAGGCTTGGTTAGAGGAGAGGAGGCGGCTTGCCTCTCGGAAGACTCGTATCACGTCTCAGGTATCACGTATGACTTGGGAAGGTATCATGTATCATGTATGGATCGGTCGGTGGATGGTGGCAGGGCGCGGGCGGCGGGCGAGACGAGACAAGGCGCCGTTATGCCGGGTGTGGTGCATGGACATGGTGCACTTGCTTGGGAGGTGGGCATGGTGGCATTCCATGATTCCACCTTTGAGCGTGCGAGCCATCTTGCCATCTCTGGTCTGAGGCCCACTGCGGCGCGCTAGACCACGTTGATATAGGCAGCTTCTAGCTTTTCTCGCCCTCTTCGTGCCTTCGTGCCCTTGTAGCTTTCCACTCTCCTACATGACTTCATCTACCGTCTGTTACCGCCTTGGGGATCGGCTGAACCAGGTGCCAGAGCATGAGCCAGCCAGCCAGGCCAGCCAGGATTAGGAAGCGTGAGCCTTGTCCTTGGGAGCATGAGCCGTCCATCCACAACAGTCGTCCGTGGTGAGCATGAGCCTCCGCCGGCGCACGCGTCTGCCAAAGCCATTTTGAGCCACCATTTGGGGCGATGCGATGCGATGGAGCCAGCTCATCGGATCTGCCCTGCCCTACCCTGCTCTGGCTCTGGGTGCTTGCCTGCCTTTGCCTTGCCTTGCGCTGCTGCCAGGACGAACCACGAACCACTAAACCCATCACTTAGTAACCTGCCGCTGCCGCTGGCTCGGACGGCGGACATGGCACGCACGCACGCACGCAGCCTGGCTTGTGTCGTGTCGGTCGCGGTCGTGTCGGGCGTGTCGGCGGTCATGTCATGTCATGATTCACTCACTCGTCCCGCCTGCCTTGCCGTCACCTTCAGTCCAACGCCCGCGCCGCAGGGGCTCAGTCAGTCAGGCAGGCCGTCTCCGTCACTCCATGTGCTGCTGCTGCCATGGATGGATGCGCGCGTTGCTGCGGATGCGAAGCGTGCTAGTCCGTCCGGCTCATCTGCCTTGTGCTTGCTGCTGTTGGCTGTTGGCTGTTGGGCTTGTCTAGCGATACTGAGCCAGCCCACCTCGCACACTCAACCCCCAGCTGAGGCCTGCTGCCGCTGCCGCCGCCGCCCGCCGAGCAAGCTATTGTATTAGCATTATGCGTTGCTTCGTGCGTCCTGTCCTGATTCTCCCCATCCCCGTTAAACCTCCATGCTTGGTCTCGCCGAACCTTGACCACCGCCTCACCTAGTACTGCTCCCTCGGCGCCAACTGAGATGAGTGTGGCTCACTACTGGCATTTGCCATGAGCATTATCCTCTCCTTCCTTCCCTCCCTTCACACCACTCCACCCCATCTCCTCTTCTTAGCCCTGCCGCGGCCCTTGCTTACCGCAATCCTCATCAACAACACCTCGCTCCCTCTTCCGCACTTGCCTCAACCCGCATCTGCCTATCGCTACACCACACTCCTCCTCCCTTCCTGTCTTCCTTGTCTCCTCTTCTCATCTTCACCGACACAAACATCCG